TTTACAACAACATTTTAAAGATATTTAAATATATTCTATAAAGGAATTAAATGAATTTTTTGTATAGATTATTCAGAACATCTTAAGGCTTTTTAATTATACACTTTTATTTTTTGGAAAATTATTGTAAACCTATCTTACCAAATCCTCTGATTAACTTGTGGGGGGGGGGGAAACATTCCCATATGGGTAAATATAAATGGCAGAAGGAGAAGTGGTTTAGTTTTATGATTTTATGGTTAACTTGAAGCAATATTTTTTTTTTAAAGTTATTACATAACATGCCTTGAGTTTGAATTGTGGTTTCTTTTCTTTTTTTCTTTTTTTCTGGCACTATTTTATATTCCACTTTAGTTGATCCTTCTAGAATTCCTATGCACGGACTAGCATGTACTATTAACTCCATCTTACAAGTAAGATTAAGTAACCACTTATAACACCAAAATTTAGTGATGGGCGTGAGGCTTTAATACAGGTCTTTGGTGATTTTCTCCTGTAAAATTCTAGAGAAGGAAAGCAAGGAAGACCTAAGAGAAGCAAGGGTCTCAAACACCAGTGTTTTCAAATGAATTTTGAAGTAGCATCTTAAGGTAGAATTTTAGAATTTAAGGTGGAATTTAGAGATGCCTCTAAGAATCTAGCTCCATTGTGCTTTTCAGTGCAAGCATAGCAGGCAATTGCCACTATTTCTGCCTGATAAAGCTTTGTATACATTTGGCCTCTTGCTTTGGAAGACAAATGAGCTCACTTCAGGGTTGCGTCTATAGGCGGATGATTGAAATTCAGGGAGGTGTTTATATGTATTCAAGAGAGTATTTCTGTCACTGCATTTCTACATGGGAGGTCTCAAAGGGAGTGGATGGATGGAAACAGGAGGGAAGATTGTTTATTGGAAGAAAATGAAAGGGATTAGTTTCTATGGAGGCCGGGGAGGTGACCTAGATTCACAACACTGGAATGTGTACTGTGATAGACCCTTCTTAAAAGAGAGAAAGAAATCTTGGATAGAAGGCCTGGCTTAATTTCCAGCCAATTCACATCGTCTCTTTGAAGGGGTTTTCTGATCCCAGGAGAAGCTTTTATTTGATATACATTTCATGTGCTGGGTTTATCTAGGGCTTCAATAATCACACAGAGCAGTTCTCGTCTGGATTACTCAGCATGCTCCTGGCCTCAGCAGGCTCCTTTTGGGGCTTTTGAGTTAAATAAACAAACATGAATTCTGAAAGACTCACATGTGATTCTCAGGTCACAGCGTCCTTTTCAGAGTAACTATTCTTAGTTCCCTATGAAATTGAAAAACAACTCTATGCATTTAAAAAAAAAAATTCACAAGATATTGTGTAAGAGGAGGATCAGTGAACGTACAAAGAGCAGTAGAATGGAAAATAGACTGTGTGGTTGCCTGTATACTGAATGGTGTTATAGAATGGCTGGTAGTTGTTCAAACTACACCAGATTGACCACCCTGGTAATTAGACTTTCCACAACTTTATTTCTGCAGCAAAGTCATAAAGAATGTGAATTTCCTGGAAAGGGGTAGGCTATATGCCCTATAAATTTTTGGATCTTAACATCTCATTGCACGTTTGTGTGTCTTCCACCATGATTAAGTTCTTGGGGGTAGAGACCATGACGGTGTGTGTGCATGTGTGGGTCTACCTTCATATCTTCAGCAGCTAGCAAAAACCTAATTTGGGGGAGGTGCTCAGTGTGTGTGTTTAAAAAGCTCCTCTTTGGTTGACCATTACTACTTTGTAAACCAAAATGTTCTTAAAATAACTCCTTTGTGGTTCAAAATCAACAGTATGAATAAGTATTGAAATGGTGCCAAAATTCAATACTGTTGTAAATGCTTTTAGTAGTGATTCAGTTTGCTCTTTCTTACAATATAAATGGCAGATAAAACAGAAGCTATAGCCAGATTCTAGGAGTTTGAGTTCCAGGCTCAGGAGGTCCAACCATGTTTCCAATCATGATTGGAAGAAATGAGGAAATCATTGGATATAATGAAATAACTCTCAGATCTCTCCCCAGAGCTTCAGACCCAGGTACTCACTGTTTCCACTTCCATGATACAGACATGGCAAAGTCCTTTTCTAAGTTGCATTTGTGGTGGACCTTCTTTCCTCCCTCTCTACGTAAACATCCTAGGTATCTGCCCATCTGCAAGTGCCAGAAATTGGAGAGCTACCCTTGTATCATCCTCCTTCCTTGTCCCCTATATATTACTAAGTGCTATAGGTTCAACTTTCTAAATATCTTGCAAATCTGTCTGCTCTTTTTCCACCCTAGTGCCATTGTCAGAATATAGTTTCCCACCTTAAAATCTATTTGCCACATTTCAGCCCAAGTGAGCATTCCAAAATGCATATCTGATAGTGGCATTATGATAGAGTCCAAATTTCTTAAAAACAAAAACCATAAATAAGCATTATTAAGCATATTCTATACACAAGGCACTGTGCCAGATGCCTTTCACACATTATCTTCCTGAATCCTCTGAGCAACTCCATGAGTTAAATAGAAATATTATCATAACTTTCAAATGAGTAATACGCATTTTAGAGAGACCAAGTGATCCCCCCCCCCCCACAACTCAGACAACTGGTAGTGGTAGAGTCAGGATTTAAACCCCAGCAGTCTTACTGCCTCACTCAAAAACATGATTCCATTTAATATATTCATAGGCAAGTCTGATTTACCTCATAAATTTCAAATTTTCTTCCCCAAACTCTAGGATTTAATTACACTGAAATTATCTAGGTTACTTTTGTTTCATCATTTTTTAAAAAAGATTTAAGAGAGAGCATGAGCCAGGGTAGGGGCACAGTGAGAGGGAGACTAGCAGACTCCCCTGCTGAGTCCGGGAGCCTGACACTGGGTTTGATCCCAGGACCCTGAGATCATGACCTGAGCCAAAATCAAGAGTTGGATGCTTAACTGACTGAGCCATCCAGGTGCCCCTTGTCTCAATTTTTATAACCTCTGGGATACTGGCTTTCAGTTTGTCTTTCTCTGTCTTGACTATCCTAACTCCTACTCAGGTTAGGTGCTACTTCTTCCAGGAAGCATTCCTTGATTTTCCAAGTGTATATCAGAAGATTAAAATCATACAGATTATCTTTTCCAGTCACAATAGAATGTTTTTCTTCTACTGTAGATTTCTAGTTTCAAAGATACACAAAAATGAGGAAATTAAACAACCAATGAGTAAAAGAAGAAATCGGAGGGCATTAGAAAATACTTAAAGATTAATGAAAATGAAACACAACATTCCAAAATTTATAGGATGCAGCACAAGCAGTGCTGAAAGGAAAATATATAACTGTAAATACTCATATTAAAAAAGATCTCAAATTAATAACCTTTAAACCTTAAGAAATGGGGGGGGAGGCGCGGAACTAAACCCAAAGCAAATAGAAGGAAATACTAAAGACTAAAAGAGAGGTAAATAGAGAATAAAGGGGAAAAAAGAAAATGATATTAAGTTACTTTAAAAAGATGAACAAAATTGAGAAAGCTTTGGCTAGATAAGAAAGTGTTTACTCAAATAAATTGGGGACATCAATACCAACATTACAGAAATAAAGGATAATAAGAGAATTGTATGTAGAAGAATGAATTTATATCCTTACCAAACAACATATTAAAAAATACGCAACTGGGACACCTGGGTGGCTCAGCTGGTTAAGCATCTGCCTTCGGCTCAGGGCATGATCCCAGGGTCCTGGGATCAAGTCCAGCATGGGTTCCTTGCTCGGCAGGGAGCCTGCTTGTCCTTCTGCCTGCCACTCGCCCTGCTTGTGCTCTCTTGCTCGTGTACTCACTCACTCTCTCTGAAAAATAAATAAAATATTTAAGTAAATCAATAAAATATGCAACTGATGAATCATTGAATACTACATCTGAAACTAATGATGTACTATTATATGTTAGCTGGTTGAATTTAAATAAAAATTTTTAAAAAGCTGCTAAACAAAAATAATAAACTGAAAATGGATCAATGACTAATGGCAAAGGCTAGAATTTAAAACTCTTAGAAGAAAACATAGCGTTAAATATTCATGACCTTGAATTTTAGAATAGATCCTTAGGACACTAAAACACATGAACAAAAGAAACAAACTGTACTCCATAAAAATTAACTTTCATGCATCAAATGCCATTATTAAAGTTAAAAAGCCTACAGAATAGGAAAAAATATTTACAAATCCTATCTGATAAATGTTTAGAATCCAGAATATATAAATTTTTACAAGTTAACAAGTACACAAACATATTAAAACTTTATAGTTTTTGGTATACAGTTCTTTACCTTCTTGGTTAAGTTTATTCCTATTTGATTCCTTTTGATGCTTTTATTTTAAATTGTTTATCATCAGTGTATGGAAAGACAACTGACTTGCGTGTGTTTGATTTTGTATCCTGCAACTGCTGAATTTTTTAGAAGTTCCAACACCCGCACCTCACTCCTACCCCGTGCAATCATTGGGGCTTTCTATTTATAGGATCATGTTATCTATAAACAAAATTTTACTGCTTCTCTTCCAATTTGGATGACTTTTATTTTTCTTGCCTCATTGCTCTGGCTAGGACTTTAGTACTATGTTAAATAAAAGCTAAAACAGGCCTATTTGTCCCTGACCTTAGAGGAAAAGCTTTTAGTCTCTCATTGAATATGATGTTGGAATGCACATTTGCAGTGCAAGATGAAAAAAAGAACTGATGAATTTGTTTCAAGATTTGTTCTGTAGGTATTATGACAAAGGTACCTCAAATCATAATCTCCTGATGGAGAAATAAACCTGACTTCACTTTAAGCAGACACACACTCCTATATTTCCCTGGGTTATATCTTTCTTACTTTGTGTATTTGACTAGAATATCTCGTTCTCTTACTCAAACTATTTAGAAATTCTTGGTTATGAAATCTAAAAATGAATCCTGCCTCTTCAGCTGAATGTACCTGAATGTAAACTGTTTTTTGTGTTTTTCAGAAGATGCCTATAAGACCCAAGTTAGGATTGACAATGAGCCAGCTTATTTGGACATTTTGGACACTGCTGGTCAGGTAGGTAATTTTCTTAGATCTCTCCAATCTCTTAGGTCAATTTAGGCTTTAATCTCAAATACATTCACCACAAAGAAGAGTTTAACAATTCAAACAGGATAAGAGCAAATTTGCAATAGTGATAAGAAATTAAATAAAAGAATTGGCAGGAAAATGTGACTCATTGCCAGCCAGAATATGTTAACATTCCTTTAATTTTTTAAATATAAAAATATAAGTGTAGATATCATATTGCCATCTAAGGTTATAAAATTAACGGAATAGTTTATTCTTCCTCAGATGTATGCAAAACTTATCTTAGACCCTAATCTGGTGATAGCTTTTATTTAAAAAAAAAAATTAGTGACATAAAAAAGGAAAGTCTACTTAGCATATATGCTCATGGAACCAAGGCTAGAGACAGTTAGTTAGTTACTTTTATTTAACATCTACACTACCAAGATGTAGTGTAATCTAGTACATTAATTTACAAATGTATAGATAGGAACAAGGAGAAGGAAGACTAGGAGGAGGAGAACATTGTTGGTGTATATAAAAATATAGGACCAAAATACTATGTGGCAGTTATAAGTAAAATGGGCAAAAGGAGTCAGAGTAAAAACCTTTAAAAGCCTTGCTGTATTTGGGAGGAGGATGGAAATTTTATTTCATTTCATACTTTAAATATAATCATGTTAAAATATAAACATATCAAATGCCAGACATAAAACATCTCTTGATTGTAAACCTAAAACTGTTGTTAAAAAAAAAAAAAGTCTTAGAAATATAACTTAAAAACTAGCAGAGGGGAAAGGGAAAATAAAAAATGAACACACTTTGAAGTTGAAAAGAAAGAAGAAACAGGAAACACAATAAATCTATCAGTAATCAAAATAAATGGAAATGGAAATATTCTCTCTCCCAGAATAGTCAAGTAAATTGTTGGCATTATATTGAATAAAAGAACAAAACTAACCTGTACTTCTTTGGTTTAAAAGAGACATAGAATACAGAGAGTTAGCAAATCAAAGAATGATTGGGGAAAAAAATAGTCAAAAGGTAACCAAACCTAAAGTGGGTACATCTGTATTAAAATCAGACAAAATAGATTTTATTGCAAAAAGCATTATTAAGGTGTTAAAATGTCAGATTGCAAAAGGAAAAAAATCAAAGATAAATTCTGGTCTGTAATATTCAAGACAAATGTATAAATCTAAAAAGCATAAATCTAAAAGCCTGTATAGTGGGAAACTTTAATGCACCTCTGTCAGTAAGTGCTACATCAAAAGGTAGTACAACTGTAGATTTGAGAACACATTTAACTTAAATAGAATGCTGCAGTCAGTATGTAAGCAGGTATTCTTTTCACATAAGTTTTTATCCTTTGTATTGATTTTTAATCTAATTGCAAAAAAATGTCTATAGGAGATTATTTGATATATATAATTTCTCCTTGTGGCTTAAGATGTGATGAATTTTTGGAATATGTTTAAGCTAGTGGCTACTTCTCCAGCAGGAAGGGGAGAGATACAAATTGGACTTCAACTATATATGTAATGATTCATGTTTCATAAAGTTCTGATTAAATGAAGGAGAATGTTAACAGTTGAAAACCTAGGTCATAGGTACACAGACCTTCATTACATTGTTTTCCTTTTGTACTTAATGTATATGTTGAAATGTTTATTATTTCATCTATTTGATGTAACTATTAAAAAAACTGCATTAACTGGCTTATTGGTATAAGCCACTGGAAATACATGGTTTCTTTCTATATTTATGAGATATATTAAGACTATTTGAAATTCATATATTAAACTCATTTGTTTCGAGGGACATTTGGATAATGGGCTTATGGTGGGGGAGGAGGGCTGAAGCCATGGGGGCTATTTGGAATGGAGAAATTATTTCAGTTGCTTGAAAGAGCTGTGTTATGCAAGGGAAAATATACTTCTTTTCAGGGGAACTTTAAGCCTAATTGGAAGAAGATTACGTTAAATTTCACTCAATATAGTAAGATATTTGTAACAACTGAAATACTAAAACCAAAATAGTCCTCTAGAATTATGCTTTGGTAGAAGGTGAAATCCTCTGTATTTCTAATAGCCATGCAGTCTACAAGTATGTATGAGCACTTACCTGGTCACATTTGGTACTAATGTAACCACAGATATCTGGATGTTTCTCCTCCCCATTGGTGTAGGGTTGGCCATGTCAATGAAATGTAGGCAGATGAAAAAAAAAAAAAGATAAAAAAAAAAAAAAAAAAAGAAAAAAAAAAAAAGAAATGTAGGCAGATGACTCAACCTGCTAGTTCTGAATCAAGATCTTAAGAGGCACTGCTATGCACAAAGATGAGGCAGGTAACCCTTGGTCTCAGGAGAAGGAGGGAAACACATGGAACAGACCTGAACTCAAATCAAAGACTAGAGCAAAGCCCAGCCAACTCATAGCCTGAAGCACATGTGCTCCAGCCACCCCACAGACGGGTGAAGTAGAAAAACCATGAACACTAGTTGCTTCAAGCTCCTAAATTTGAGTAGATTTGTCATGTAGCATTATCATGGCAATAGCTGACCAATGCAGCATATTAAAGAAGCATTCATTAGTTCAGTGTGCCTAAAGAATACTATCACCTGTTTGTAGATGAAATGGTAAGTGATAAGAGTGAAATCTGCATACGTTGACTCAAGTGCTTTCTAATTCTGTGATTCTTTGCTCTAGAATCAATGAAAAACTTGTAAATAAACAACTTATACAATTATTACATGTGTGTACCCTTATTTTTCTGAGCGAGCTTCAATTGCAGCCAAACATAGTCAGGAATGCATCAGGCTCAAAAGATGGTGACTTGTTGGCTTCCAAATTATTAAACTCTCACATGCAAGAGATGATCTATACAGTTGAGTCAAGAAGACTTATGTCACAGTAGGGGACAGTAGAGAACACTATTGAAACACATTTAATAATAGTTTGTTTTCTTTTGTAACTATTCCTGTTCAACATTTGTTGAAATTTATTATCCTTACAACAAATCCAGGAAGTAGATAGAAAAGTTATTGTTGCCACCTAGAATTTGAGTAAAATGGTATACAAAGAAATCACCCCTTGGAGGCAATACTGGTACCCAAGTGTTTGTGTTTGTGCGATGCTCAAAGCCTTGCAGCGCTACAGTAACGCCATGGAAGAATTGTCGGCGCTCACCAAATGCCCTGTTGGAAAGGACTTTAACCATTCTTCCATTGTTTAAATTCTCTTTTCAATGCTCAGTGCTCCTGCCAAATGCTCTTTAAGCCTGTGTTTGACCACTTCAATTGATTAGGTACTCTGCTTCTAGAAACAAATAGAGATTTTAGGAAACTTGAAGTATTTGTAAGGATTTTCTTACAATGAGATTAATTTTTCATCCTTATAGTTTCTAACTATTGGTCTCAGATCCCCTGAAAAAAATTCTATTACTCATTTTATAAATAGAAAATTTAAGTCTTATGGAGGTTAAATGGTTTAACTAAAACAACAGCAAGCTACTGAGCCAGCTATTACCAAAGTCTGTCTATACTCTTACTCAAGCTGTTTCTTACTTCATTTCTAATCCCTTAGTATCTATGAAGTACTGTCCTACAACAAGAAAATGCAGTTGGTTGAGTGTCTGACTCAATGTCAGCTGAGGGGGGATCTGCTTGACAGTTTCACTCTCCTCTGTCTCCCTCTGCCCCTCCCCCACATGCATGCTCTCTTTTTCTCTGTCTCTAAAATAAATAAAATCTTAAAAAGATAGAATAGAATAAAATTGGGCCTCTTCTTAAAATGCTTGAGGTTTAGGGCAATGGGAGAATACTAAATGTGCAGCAAATTAGGATAAGCAGTATAGCAGAAGTGTAGAAATTGTGGTAGTGGGTTATCTCAGATGCCTAAATTATTTTTGGTTCTAGCCTAGATAAAAAAAAAAATCAGTCAAAAATAGAAGAAGGGCTTAAAAAATAATTTTTACATGGATTTGAGTGAAACTAACAAAATTCAATTTAATTATAAATGTATTGAATCTCCCTCTTCCTTATTAGAAATAATAAAAGTAATTGTTCTCCAAACACTTCAAATTATATTTTTTTGGTATGCTAATATATCCAGTCACTACAATTTCCTAGACTGATGCATTCCCCCAATACCTGGCTACCTCCTATATTAATATATTCTGAAGCAATGGGAAATGTCATTGCAATCTTGTATTTTGTTTAGCCCCTAACCAACTCTGTGGTCAGCCAACCTGGCACTAAGGAAGTCTAGAGATTTCTGCTGTCCTTCTAATACCCCCTCTCGTGTCCTCCTCCTCACTACTGCTGACTCATAGGCAAGCCCAATAAACAAATGTTATTTTATAGAGAAGGAGGAAGTTGGGTGGGGTGTTTTGAATGAAAGTCCTTTGTTAAAAAGCAAGAGTTCAGGGTGATGATAGTTTCTCATTGGCTGAGTTGCAGGGGTAGTCAATTTCTTATAGATTCAATATATATATAGTTGAGGTCTGTAATTGATAATTCTGTCCTATTGATACTTGTGTCGGGCTGTATAATTGACAGTTCTTCCTGTAACTGATATTGAGTGGTATGGGTCCCCCTTCTAGCCTCCTGGCTCTACTTAAGTGAGGTTTCTCCTTAATTTTTACATTCCCCCCCTTTTGATCAAGATCTTTCTCTGGAAGCATCACTGATCAAAAGGCAGGTTTTCTACCACATTAGTGGTTTTGTCCCTCAGTGCCAGGAAGGATCTTTTCTGGTTGTCATGTTCTACACACCAAGGTAAATGCTTATATAAGCAGTTGGAAACCACTTATGGCCATGTTTGGGTGACAAGGGCGGTGAGGAGGGAAAACGTTCAGGTACTTCTCATCTATAGTCCATATTTATTAAGATCATAAACATTGAAGATCATCTTATTGGGTATATCATTTTTATAAAAGTTTGACAGGCAACAAAATACAAAACTTAATTATACAGAACAGAAGTAATAAAACAATTCCAAATTGT